GGCACCAGCAAACGCACAGCGGGGTGCGGCCCTTCTGCTGCTCTACCTGCGGCCGTGCCTTCTACCGCTCGGGGGACCTGGTGAAGCACCAGCGCACGCACACCGGGGAAAAGCCGCACGGCTGCCCGGTATGCGAGAAGCGCTTCTACACGGGCAGCGAGCTGAAGATCCACGGGCGCTTCCACACCGGGGAGAGGCCGCACGGCTGCCCGGTATGCGAGAAGCGCTTCTACACATCCAGCGAGCTGCGCATACACAGCCGCACCCACACCGGCGAGCGCCCCTTCCGCTGCGCCAGCTGCCCCAAGGCCTTCTACCGCTCCAGCGACCTGGCCAAGCACCAGCGAACCCACACTGGCATCAAGCCATACGCCTGCCAGCTGTGCCCCAAGAGGTACTACACCTCCAGCGAGCTCTGCGTCCACGGCCGCACCCACTCGGGTGAGAAGCCCTTCCGCTGCCAGCTGTGCCCCAAGGGTTTCTACACGGCCAGCGTCCTGGCCAAGCACCGGCTCACCCACCTGCCCCGCGACCCCACCACCACCTTCCAGTGCCGCCTGTGCCCTCAGCGCTGCCCCAGCGCCTCCCGGCTGAGGGCCCACGAGCGGCAGCACGCCGGGGAGCCCTCCTTCGAGTGCCATGTCTGCCTGCGTCGCTTCCACACCTCCGGGGGGCTCAGCAAGCACCGTAATGTCCACGGGCGCGTCCCCCCCTCCGCTGCCGCCGCCGCCGCCCCTCCTCTGGCGCCCGCAGACGAGCCGGCGCCCACAGCTCCCCAGGCCGGTCAGCCGGGCATCGCCGCTCCCTCGGAGGAGGGCGCTCTCCCCCTCCCTGCTCCTCCTCCCTCCTCCTCCCCGCGCCCCCTCTTCGAGTGCGGCATGTGCAAGAGAGGCTTTGGGTCCTGGGCGCAGCTGCTGGCCCACCAGCCCATGCATGAGGGCGAGCGGGCGCTGGAGTGTGCCCTCTGCAAGCAGCTGTTCGTGGCACCCCCCGGGGACGGGCAGGGGGCACT